GCTAAAGGTGGTGCAACAAAATACTAAGTTAAGGGTACCATCTTTTTTGTCCATGTCATTTTCATTTGGTTCATTATATAAAATATACAGTTTAATTGAAAATCAAAAGTAACGTCTGATTTGTGTTAAACATGGAATTAACACTGATTGATGCCATTAACGTTTGTCAGATTATTCAAATTATTTCAGAGATAGCTGTGGGTTCTTCTTTTTCATGGAAGGGTACCTTCCATATCTGTACAATGTTGCATGTGAAGAATAGAATTTGTGTACAGTATTCAGTATACAGAATACAGATATGGCATTTTCAGTACCACCTTTGTGCAGGACATAAAAGTGTCGAGGGTAATGTGGGCTGAATGAATGGGAGAATCACCCAAGAGAGGTGTGTGTGTGTGCCAAGCATTATAGGAGCACAGTATTAACCTCTTTACCAAGATAACCTCTATTCAGTCTGTATGAAACACATATCAGTAGCCCTGGACAAGCAGATAACATGTTCAGGCTATCAGGGTCAGGGTTTTATTCACAGTTGCCGAATAGTCTCGAATACTGCCTGCTACGGAGGACACACTCTGGACATTGTAAGAACCACTTTAACTACTTTAATGGATGACAGATATGCCAACATTGCTAACAAAAAAGAATCCCAGCAGACCGAGGGGAAAAAAATAGAATTTTAGTTTTAAAAAAAACCCAATCGTATGTTTATGGATGAGATGGCTCCATGCTAACACCATAAATGATAAACAATACTTTTTCTGGCCTGAGAGCACAGCCCCATCCTTTAGTTTTTTGTAGTATCGCACATTCACATGTCAAAGTTCACATAGACAAAGCTGATGAGAAGCGAAAATAACTGCTACCAGAAGCAGAGGTGTATATTTACGTCACGGCATCCTTTCCCCTTCAGTATATTAGCTTTACAATTTCATGCGTGTTTAGTCTGAGCACTGCTTTGCCTGATAAAAGCAAAAAAACGTGTAGTTTTCAGGTGACTCATATCGATATGAGATTCACCTTGAAACTACACGTATTTTTGGGTAAAGCAGCATAGAAAGGGGTCTACAGTTAAACTGTAAATGTAGGCACGTCTGAGGATCACCAATAAATATAGAATAGGATTTTCCGAGGAATTTCAGTACTCACTCATTTTCATGAGTCTTTATGAATGCACTCAATTAGTTAACAAACTCATCATACTTCAGGGTGTAAATGTCCTTAGCTACTTTTTTTTTTTTTAGCCTAGTAGGTTTCTGACCAACTAAAAGATGAGACTGAGGAAGTACACTGGAGGGTCCACTTGCCTGGTGGAATACTAATGAATTTATTATTTGTCCACCCCTGAAATGACAGTAAAAAATGGCTTAAGATACAATAGGTTAAAAATGGGCCATCTTATTACTGACCCCACGGCCAAACGTGCTGAAGAGTGACTCGCACACTAACCATTACTAAAATAAAATAACATTTAAATGATATCTGACTTTCACATTGTGTCTATTGTACCATTTGCTCATGTATCCTAACAGGTGAACTAAAACACACTACAGGTGAACTAAATACACACTAAAAATCTACAAAGGCAGCTCAGAGCAAGCCTCAGTCTGAATCTGAGTGGAATTGGCAGTGTGTGGACAAGTCAATGTATAATTAACCTAAAATCGATCTCCACCCAAAACCTGCTGCAACAGACCAACAAATATCAATGAGTTTTCTAATGGATACCAAACAATCTTTATGAATGTAGTCTCTGGTCTCTAGTCTCTTTTCTAATCATCATTACCGTTGAAATTATTTGTAAAGTGTTAGATTTTACACTTCTTTGTAGGCCTCTTTTTTAGGTCAATTTTTTTTTTCTTTTTTGACTATTTTTGCCTGAAAATGTTCAGTGGCCATAATCTTGGTGCATCCCTAATCACTATAGTTAACTGATGTTAACTTTATACTTGTCTGATTGTTAGCCAAGTCAAACATACAGTACACTGCAAGACTTTCATATCCATTTACCTTGACAGAGAGAGTGGGCACCGCTTCAGTGCATCTTTCAGGCAGGACAAAAAAACTACTAATATGAGATGGGGGGGGGAGGAGATGGAGTTGAAACCATAACTGTCAATCATTCCACGTTCATATGTTGTTTGGCTTATCTGGGGAAAAAAGAAGACTATTTTGCCGTATCTCGAGTGATGAAACATAGCAGTGTACACCAACGTTCTACACCAAATTCCTGAAGATTGGCAGGTCTTCATCTCAGAGAAATTGCAAATATATTTTTATATAACTTACTAAAGAATACTAGATATTTGTGGGTCTACCTAATAAAGATGGAATAAAGATAGAGGAGGGAAATAAGCGTTGAAATGTTAAGAACATCAATACCTTGGCAACACTTATGATCAGAAAATGAAAGTACGTCTTTTTCTTAGTGTTGCATTTGCATCAGAAAAGTATTTTTGTGCCGAAACAAGAAAGGTAATGTTTGTGCAGGCTGGGAAATAAACGGTACACTGTTTCTTTGGACAGCACACACACAATCTCGTGTGTATGTGAATTCTATGTTCTGTTTTTAATGTTCATCTCTGTATAAGGGTTCATGCATTGTGACACAGTACACATACATAAGTAATCAGTAAAGAACATTGTTGTTAGCTCCACCCCCATGTAGCATTAGTTCCTACTGGTACCAACTCTGAGCACGGACCAAAAACCATACATTTGGTACTGGACCTGAGGTCACTGGCAAACGTATAGTTCAAACCACCTGCGCCTTTTAACGATTTCCTGTAAATTGGGAAGGATTCTGCAGAGGGAATGAAGATTGTAATTCATTCCACAATTGCTGAACAGCAACCCATGTGTCTGGTTTTAAACTGTCAAGATAGAGCGCTAAAGTTGGATATCGTCTGTATACTTTGCGAAGTCTAGGTAATGAGACGTTTCGTCGTGTGTAGGACCTCTCCAAGGGCTACTGTTGAGAAGAATCATTCTGGCTAGTAGTTGTTGAGAGTCTTGTAAATGTGACACTGCAGTAGATGGTGTATTTAAAAGCAGACTCTATATCAGTGCAGTTAATATATACTTTAGACAGTCTCAAAGACTTTGCTATTGTTATACAGTATATAGTAAAATGCAGACACTGTAATTAGCCTGCTAGAGTTACAAAAGCTACAAAGTTTATTCACAGAAGATCTTATTCATGCACCTACACACACCCACATACATTCACATACTGTGCATATACACACAATAGCAAGTTTGTGTAAAAGTGCCTGTACTGTGATGGACGAATCAGCAGATTTCATGTACGGGCTATTCGTTTTTAATTTATAATACAATACAAACAGGAATATATATACAAAACAAAATATATAAAAACTTTGAAATAGTTAAGGCTAAGAGGTTAGAAGGTCATTCATACGAAAGTGTAAAAAAAAAAAATACTCAGCAGCATTTCTTCCCGACAGCCTGAAGGGTAATATATATATATATATATATATATATATATATATATATATATATATATATATATATATATGAAATGTAGCAAGCAGGGCAGATCTGTCAGACATCTGTCTATGGCCTTTAACACAGAGGAAATGAAGACCATTAACACATCTTCTAAAAATAAACAGCTGACTCCATCATTTCTCCACTAAGCTATAGATAATTAGAGAGAAATGTCACTCGGAGACCCTGAGCAGCTTCTCAAACAGCAGGCCCGGCATTCAACAGTGAATATACCATTATTATAAAGAAATATGACTCTTACCATGCCACACCTGTAGTGAATGTTTTACATGTACAGATATATGATGTCTGGGATCTATTATACAAATAACGTCTAAGAAATCACTCTCAGGCATACACTGCGTCATAAAGCATCAAATAAAATTGATCTGGGGGAAAATTATCCCTGAGCTGATTTTCTCCAGTAACCAACGTGCATTTCTATGCATCACATACAGACTTTTTCATTTACGGATTGTGTTATTTACAATTTCGAGTTGAGCTGATACATACACATCTTGTAATGATGGTAAGGGTGGACGAATCAATAGCCCAAGAGTCCAGGTCACACACATTTCGTGTGCAGACTGTTCCATAGAAAGAAAATAAACCCTACTTCCAAATTTTCATTTGTTTAAATGTAAGGCACCTCATGGTAGTGTGACAAACCTCTATGTTCCGAATCCCACCGCCTGAACTACACACATCGGCCGAGGTATGATTTGGTGGTAGAACGATTTTTAGTATCCGGATTAATTAGCGTGAACAGATGACAGGCGATTTTTCTGAATCAGGAACAGGCAGGGATGCGGAAAAAATGGTGAGTCTACTGCTTATTACATGCAGTCACCTCACAGGTAAACAGGTATTGTGAAAAAAATTGTAAATGCTAGCCCAACCTGAATAATAATATCTTTTATGTGCAGTGTGATGACAGAACACCACAGCTCGTAGCTAAAATGTTGGCCAACAACTTGCTGACTTTTTCTTGAGGGAGCAAAACAACAATGTGTTACATTAGAAACTTTGTTAGAAGAAGATAATACTCATATACTCATTTGTTTACCTTACCTTCCTCAACTAGCGCTTAACTAGCATACTAGCTCACCATACGTTATTTTATTATATTATGCTAGCTTCTGCGTTTTAGCGTAGTCAGTTTTCAGGCAACCATCATCCTTTAGCATTTTTTTTTTTTTTTTGGTCTAGCTAACTCAGACGTAATTTTTGTTTCATCATGGTGATTTGTTCGAATACAATTAAAATTGTGTAGTTAAAATGAGAAATTGTATGGTTATCAAGTTGTTGTTGTTCCTCTTTCGGCTGCTCCAGTTAGGGGTCACCACAGCGGATCATTGGTCCGTGTATTCAATTTGGCACAGTTTTTACTCCGGATGCCCTTCCTGACGCAACCCTCCCCAGTTTTATCCTGGCTTGGGACCGGCACTGAGAGCGAACTGTTGCACACAACCCCCAGTGGCTGGGGTCAGTTCCCTGGCCGTGAATCGAACCCAGGCCGCGGCGGTGAGAGTGCTGTGGCCTAACCACTAGTCCTCAGACACTGTGACATCAGGCAGATTTTGAACAGATTTTCAACTATCCAAGCACTGGGCAGAGTGTTCAAAACAAGAAAATGTAAAAGCTGTCTCAAGGATTCAAACTTTTACACTGATACTGCTGGTGTAAAATCATTTTGTCAAACTCTGTACTGTAAAACAAACGTTAACTGCACATGTCCATTGGTTACTGTGTGAAACCACCACATTTATGCTTTATAAAATCATGTTTTAGCTGCATTAATAATTTTATAATTTCTATACAACAGTCCTGTGAGAAAGAAAGAACGCAACAGAATCTACACTCTTTCACTGCAAACTAACAGCTCAACTATTGTGGTGCTTTAAACATCCATCAAAATAAGACAGCTGAGCAAATACTACAAGTGCTACACAATGCCTCATGCTATAACAAACTGCACTGAAAAAGATGTTATACAGGAAGTGCTGATGGCTGGAATTCTTGGGCAACTGGACAAGTGATGATTGGAAAAAGACCAGGTAATGATGCCTCTTCCACCAAGTCTAGTCTTTCTTTTCACTAGTTTATATGCCAGAACTACCCTTAAAATATACTTTAAATGTGAAGGAAGCTATTGAAGAAAAACTATTTCAGACATCTGACCTTGCTGTGTCTTTGACCCTGCTTGGATCAATTTCAAAATCTAATCAGTTCATCTGCTGGTTACAATGATACAATTCCGTATAAATCCTACAAACATTCAACCGTTGGTTCTTGAGATATTGCGCATAAGAGGATTTCGGATGGACAGACAACCCGAAAACGTAATGCCTCCACCAATCTGTGGCGGAGGAATAAAAACACAAAATGGAGTCCACACGCTTCAGCAGCCAGTGAATCCTCCCTCTACACAAATGAGAAGGAAAACATGCCAATACTGGGTACATGAAAATCTTAATAAATGGCAACAACACCTCTTCATACAGGAGCTTGAAATGTATAATGGATGAGTCTGAAGTACCACAAGTGCACTATTGAATTACTCTCGGAGCTCATATTGCCTGAACCTGTAACCTTTCATTTGCTTTTCCCACTAAAGCATTGTTTGTCAATTTTATGCCATCTCACCATTGACAGATACGGTTTGCTTTAGGTCTGTTTTTGTAACTGCTGTACCGTTTGTCATACAACTCTTTGTGCTCTGACTGGTTGACATCACAAGCTGTCTATCACCTGAATAGAAGTCTGTCATTTGTTGGTTGATAAGGTTTTTTTCTGAAAAACACAGGACTCTAAGCCAGTAGCCAAAAAAACAAAAAAATAAATAAAAAATAACACATAGCAGAACAATAGTCAGTCAATACTGTCAACATGTTTGTGTTTACTCTCATTGTGCAAGTTTGCCATGCAAAAAATAAGCCTTTACAACACACAATTCATAGGAAACGTGTAGGACAGGGGTTGTGAACTGGTGGGCCATGGTCTAGATGCAGACGCAGCAAAGTTCTTCAGCGGACCAAAACATAAACTAACCATGCCAAATTGATGTGTCTTATTTATCGTCATGAAGTAATAACTAATCATTAAGCATGTTCTCACTGTTCAGCCACGTTAGCTGCTTTTCTGGATCTTTGTAAACAAGGAATTTTAGGTAACTGGACTTTCACAAACCTTAGTCAAATACCCCTGGTATAGACTAACTACATTTCTGTTTTATAATGACACCAACATGCTCACACACCATTGTTCACAACAATCAATCACTGATCACCATTGTTCCCAACAACCAATCACTGATCACCACTGTTCCCAACAACCAATCACTGATCACCATTGTTCACTACATCCAATCACTGATCACCATTGTTCCCAACAACCAATCACTGATCACCATTGTTCCCAACAACCAATCACTGATCACCATTGTTCCCAACAACCAATCACTGATCACCATTGTTCCCAACAATCAATCACTGATCACCATTGTTCCCAACAACCAATCACTGATCACCATTGTTCCCAACAACCAATCACTGATCACCATTGTCCACAACAACCAATCACTGATCACCACTGTCCAAAACAACCAATCACTGATCACCACTGTCCAAAACAACCAATCACTGATCACCACTGTTCACAACAACCAATCACTGATCACCACTGTCCAAAACAACCAATCACTGATCACCACTGTCCAAAACAACCAATCACTGATCACCACTGTTCACAACAACCAATCACAGATCACCATTGTTCCCAACATCCAATCACTGATCATCACTGTTCCCAACATCCAATCACTGATCACCATTGTTCACAACAACCAATCACTGATCACCACTGTTCCCAACATCCAATCACTGATCACCATTGTTCACAACAACCAATCACTGATTACTTCTTTTTTCTTTGTTTTAAACACTTCTTGGCAATATTTAAAAAAGCGAATTATTCATATTTGCTTTCTTCATGTCTATTTCCCAAATACTCACAACCAGTGCTACTTTTTGTTTGCATAGTTTGTGCTATGAAAAAGAAGACGACTTCTTTCTATGAGAAATGAGTTATAATCTATAATTCTATTCTATTATAAATCTATTATTTCTATACTGATAAAGCTCTATTCTATTTCAGGTGTTCCCAGAAAATATTCCTTTTTCATGTAACATGTTTTGATATGCAAACAATAATGACAATTCAACAAATATGCAAATTTAGTCGATGACATCACCTGGGGACTTCTAGTGGTTTTTGAGAAGGCATTAGCTACTCTTCCCTGAAAAGAGCTAGCAACACTGCACAAAAAATCCCGTTAGGTTCATCAGCAGTAAATCAAACAGACTTCTCCATATGCATACAGCTTTTCTGGAATTCAGTTCCGTTTAGAATAGAGGCTATACTCATTGAAAAATCTGAGACATCGAAAAAGTTAGCAAAAAGTTTTATTTCCATTTCTGGCCTTATCTGTGCTCCTTAACACTTAAGGGAAAATGCAGAGATGTGTTTACATAAAACAAACTGCCAAGAGAATTTCTCCTCCAACTCTCTCACATGGAGCTGATGGTCATTACGCAACTCCTTTAGTGGGAGGTGTTGAGCTTGAACTTCCTGCCGTTCTGTTGTTGACTAAAAGACACTATACAGTGAATGCGCTCATTGTACACATATTTTCAGGAGCGCTCTTTTATGATATAACAAACAGACAGATGTACGGCTGTAACTAGCAGTGAAAATATTCTCAGCAACTTAGCCAAGGCTTTTCAAAGTTATGATAAAAAGCTACAAACTAAAGTGGGAAAAAAAACCAGATTCCATTTTGGGATTACTCTGAATACGAACCAAGATTGTGATTATAGGAAGTGAAGGGAAAATTTGTGAAGCAGTGCTAGAATTGAAGAAATACAAATCTAAATGAACATTTCTGAGTTTGCCAAACTCTTAAATTCTATTATGTTTTGACTAAAGTTCACTGAGGTGATGTGTTAGTCAAGTAACATTTGTACTATTTTTTTAAACTTTGCTGTTATGTTATGTTGGTCAAATGATAGTAGAATTTAGTTAGTTAAGTTTCTACTTTTTTTCCTCCCAGGGTTCAGTGCTTGATAACGCTGTGGAAAATTGGGACTGTTACAAATACAATATTATACAACAATAAGTTCTGGTCCACTAATTTGATTGGTCGAGAGGCGTTCCAAAAGTGCCTACATCTCCTATAACCGCACTGGGACGTTTCACTGTGTGTATCACTCCTCTCGTCTGTGTTCGCCACGTAAAATTCCACTTCCTAGTTCGAAACGGTTACTACAGTAGTGTTAGCGACATCATCAGCGGACATGGCAAACGATACTTTTCAGGAATATAGTTTTTGACTTAAAACATGAAAGCTCATCGGACGAAGATGAAAAAGAAGAAGGGACACCAATTTTACTGGAAGCACGGGAATGTAATTTAACAGGAATGTACAAATAAATGTGATCTTGCTGGCAAGCTAGCCGACGTGCTACAAAGTGAGTGTAGCTTTATCTGGATCTATTTCTTTAGTGGAGCAAAAATAAACAGAACATTTATGATGAAATTTAACGGAAATTTAACGGAAATGAAAATGAGTGATTTTCAGAAAATTCACTCCTTCATATTCAGTAACTGATACACAGTATATAACAGTTATATATACTGATATACATATATAACTGGTATATTTTGTACACTTTTCTGGCCACCACCTTCAGAATGCTGATGGTTGCAATCTTATTGGCTCTGTGTTCTTCTGTGTGCTGGTTTACAGACAATGACACAATGAGCTTTTTGGAGATATATTCACTAAGATATAGCCACTGGATTAAAGAACTTCACAGAATCCTGTCTTTAAAAGTTATACAGTTTTGTGGAAAGCAGTCAGTGATGAGTGAACAAGTTACTCTCATGTGTTTGCTCAAAACGCCGCAGGAAAAGGTCTTTGGTGGGTCGTCTGCCATTTCTCTCAAACGGCCTCTTTCTGTGAAAGTAGGCGTTTCTTGCCCACATTTATTTACAAAACATACCCGACTGTGAGACTACCATAACTCTAATCTTGCTTAGCTCATTATAAAGTTGTGCACGGGGACCAAAAAAAGTTGGCCTTTTTTTTTTACTTTCAATGCGGGCTGGTGCAGGAAGTCACATGTGAAGCTTGCAGGGAAAAGAAAGGACACATTTGTTAACATGTGCAATGTACTATGTGCTCACACTGCTCAATGTGTTTAGTCAGTAACTACTTTATTCTGGTCATATTTTTGGAAATAAAACCCAAATAAGTTTTTGCCCTGAATGCAAGTAGCTGTAGAAGGCAGGATTGATCAGAATTCCTTCAGGACCGGGATTAAAAAATCATCCTGTGGGCCCTTCATGAAAAATTTGTGATATGGGAACTGTCTTGCCATTACAATCTAATGTTTGGTATCTAATGATATCCATTTACAGAAATATCTTTCAAGATAGGGACATTAAACACATTTACAGTAAATATAAAAAAACTCTACACACTCCTGTTAAAACTGCATT